GTGAAAAATAACCTGGAGAATGTGTTTTGTATATGGTGACGATAGCACTGTTGCACAACTCCCTTTTTAAGTAAAAAAATAATCTGTGTGTTGTGTCTTAAGTTAACATCTCAACGAAGGAGGGGATCATCGAGTTGTAAAGCTGCCGGTTCTTGGGTGGTTTAGCAAAATGTTGGCAAACAGCTCAACAGCGTAGGCATGAGTTAGCAGTGCCATGTGCAAGGGGTTGGACTAGATGACCCTGGAGGTCCCTTTCAACTCTGTGATTCTATGAATGGTCACACATAAACTGGCTCTGGCTGGGTGCTATGAAATCTCTGCTGGAGGCCAGGAATCCTGGCTGAAGTTTGTTCCTCGGCTTAGCTTCTCTCTCCTTAGGTGGCAGAGGTCTCTGCTTCGTGGTAGTGTTGGAACATCGAGGTCTGGGCCTCTGTTCTGTACTGAAGCAAAATTTCCAAGCATCGGCATCTTCGGTAGCCCATTTTAGAGAAGCTGATGGCGTGCCACCCCAGCTTTCAAATTGTCTGAGAGTGAGTGCAGTTGGGACATTTCAGAGGAGTTGGAGGGTGTCTGCTGGACCTGCCCTTAAACCTCGCAAGAAAGGGAGCCAGGCAGGCTGCCTTTGAGCCGTCGTCCTTCCAGCGGAGCCCCAGGGTTCCTTGGATGCTTACTGGGGAACCGGAAGAGCAGAGGTGGGGGGGATATGTGTCCCTGGATGTCAGCTTGTCCACCTCTACTGATTCCCCCCACACACACCCAAGCAACATGCAAGGGAGTGGGCTGCTATCTTTGTGTTTCGTCTGATCTGACCTGTTTCAAGCCCACAGTGCGGGGAGCGACTGCCGTGGCTTCCTCTCACAGTAGCCACTGTTCTCTGGAGGCCTCTTCGGCAGTCATGTTCAAAAGATGTGCTATAAGAAATGACTGAAGTGATCACCCAAAGAGTGATCAACACTTGGAATTCACTGCCACAGGAAGTGGTGGCGGCTACAAGCATGGATGGATTCAAAAGGGAATTAGATACGCATATGGAGCAGAGGTCCATCAGTGGCTATTAGCCACAAGGTATAGATAGGGACTCTGGGGCAAGTGATGCTCTGTCTTCTTGGTGCTTGGGGGGGTCAACAGTGGGATGGCTTCTAATGTCCTGGCCCCACTGCTGGACCTCCTGATGGCACCTGGTATTTCTGGCCACTGTGTGATACAGAGTGTTGGACTGGATGGGCCTTTGGCCTGATCTAACATTGGCGTCTCTTATGTTCTTATGAAGTGACTTCAGCACCTGTGAACCCAGCGCAGGGCACCACAGAGGAGGCTTCTTGCTGCCCCCCTCTGCAGGATTCACAGCTCTGGCCTTGCCTCTGCTGAGGTTATTCTGCATTGTCTCTGCACTGCATATGCTTGGATCAGCCAGTCCCTTATAACACTCCCTGCCACAGGGGTGGACCTACCAATGCTCCCTCTAAGCTGTGGAGTCTTGTGAGCAAAAATTCTACTTTGTGAGCTACTGGCATTAAAGTTCTGAGTGAGTTTGCTCTGGAGCCATCCTTCCTGAGCTAAGACAGAAACGTATGAGGCGAAGGCTAAAAAACTGTGAGCTAGCTCTCACTAACTCAGCTTAGAGGGAACACTGGTGGCTACCTGTTGTGCTTCTGCACGAGTGCCTAAGCTTGCCTCCTGTAACTGTGCTCGGTAAAAGTGACTCCTGCCGATACGCAGGGAGGGCTGATAATTTTTCACTCTTGCTGTGATTGGAGACTTCCGTGAAATCAATCTCCAGGTTTAATTTGGGGTGTGTGGGGGGGGGAAGGGCCTCGGAAGTTTGGGAAACAGCACGCTTGGGAATGTGGCGAGGTTTGCCCTAGAGCTGGTGAGGGGCCCAGAGCTCTGTTGCCGCGAAGGGGCTTCTTGTTGTTCCCGTCGTCCTCTTGCCTGATGTTTGGCTGGAATCAGATGCTAATAAAATCCAGCCCAAGTCCCAAATTGGGTTTGAAGCATCGCCTTCCAATTATAAAAGCCTAATTCTTCTTCCCAGGCA